TGAGTTTATTTGAGCTTATTTGGCATATAACACCTGTTATACGACCTACGTTTACTATGAAAAAAAAAAATAATAATTATTATGTGTTGTTTAAAAGACCATAGATGTACAATTTTTATATCCGGATTTCGAACAAGAACTGTGGTACATGCATTTATTTAAGAATTAAGGTAGATTTATAAATATATATTGAATACATTCTAACAAAGACTTTTTATTCTTCAAATTCAATTATATGTACATACGTATAAAAATATTTTTATTATTATTCTAATTTTATTGTATTCTTTATATAACAGATAAGTGATAAAAATGATTCGCACAATTATCCACGCTATTTTGACAAACGGGTAGATATTGTTCAGTACTAAATCTCCAAAATTTATATATCTATGATACTTTTTAGTCAAGAAGCATTATTTTAAAAATCTTTTTTTTTTTCGTTATTATAAAAGAAAAAAATGAATCTTTTATTAATTTTTTCATTTTTTATAACTTCAATAATTTTTAATTATATCAACTTCGTGAATTGTTTTCTTGATACTCCTTATGTACCATTTTTTATTGCGGATAATTTATATTTTGTTGGAAATGATAAAATTTTCTATATATATTTAGCGGATGTGCCACTAGATAATAATACAATTGTTTATGCATCTAAATGGTTTAAAATTAATGTATCTGAATCAAATATCGATTACCTCCCAAGCGATCCATTTTTAGGTGGTAAAGCAAATGACAAAATTTTCTTCATTAGTAATTCCTATTCAGTGTTACGATTACATGCATTTGACACTACACTAAAAAAGTGGGAAACAAACCTCAGTTATCAAGGAATTCCTTCAGATTCTTATAATTTTGATAATATTAACTGGGTTTCTGATGAGTTAACCAGTAAATCCTATCTTTATGAAGGTTATGAAAAGAATTTAACAATATTTGATAGCATTAATTTAGCCTGGATAAATAGCACTTCAAATCCTCAAAATTTACTTCAAGGCATATTAGGCTCATCTCAAATTTTCGCTGAGTATTTTAGTTTTGTTCAGGTTTTATCAGCAAGTGATAAAATTTTTTATATTGGTGGAAGTTTTACGGGATTTTCTTTCAATAAGCAATTTATGCCGATGAGTAGTATTTTAACATATGATATCGTGTTAGATTCATGGCAAATTAATGTATGAATTTTATTATTATTTAATGTTAGTACTTGTGATTAGTTATTAGTGATTATTGCTAAATAATCAATATGTAGAATGCGACAGGTAAAGAGATTGAAGGACGTATAGGTCATACAGCTGTTATGAGTAAGTATCAAACCAATTAGAAGGCCATCTTGATTTTTTTTAATCTTTCACTTGCTAATTTTCTTTTTAGCTTCAGATAAACGTATTATTGTATATGGTGGAATGAATATATTAAGACCAGCTTTTCCATACTTGGCAGTCTTAGATACTTCAAAAATACCTTATGAATGGTCAACACCAACAGAAGAAAATTCTATTGGCCCTATAACTGAACATTCGTCTATTATGATCAAAAACTATATGATCACAGCATTTGGTAATTAAATTATTTGTGCATGTATAATAAATTAAATGTGTTAATAACATTATTTGCTTTTTAACTTTAAAGGTAGAAACTTATCAGAGAGGGAATCTTATAATATTAAAAATGTTTATAAATTGAATATATCAAATCCATTAAGTTATAAATGGTCATTATTAGCTACACTCAATAACCAATCTAATTCTGTAGATAATAATAATAGTGGATCAACTGGTTTTTTCAAAGTTTCACATAGGATGTGTTTAGGTGGTAGTAATCCAATGTTTTCGATTGGGTTAATGATAGCAATACCATTAATATTAATGATTATTGAATTATTGCCACTATTGCATCGTAATAAGATATGGTGGCTTGCATCTGATATTGGCAACGATAGCTTTTCTTTAATACGGAGTATTAGACCGTGTGGAAATGAGTGGGAAAACGTTTTACCTGAGTGTACTGCTCGTCCCAACGAAACTCATTGTATAAAAAAAGTTAGATTTAGCGTTAAGGAAAATCATGTTGGATTGTTATCTGATTCTCAGAATTAAATTAATATAGAACAATTTGCTTATAATTTCTATAATTAAATTAATATAGAACAATTTGCTTATAATTTCTATAATTAATTTATTAAAATAATCATGTATGTTATAGTTGTTATTCCAATATAGTATTTTCAATAAATTAATCTTTAAACAAAATATATTGTTGTGGTAATTATTAATAGGTAACGATGATTATCCAGTAACTTTATAAAATGGAGTCGTAACGCCTATTAAGTAACCATATATATTTCTAGAATTTATGAGAGAGTATATGGAGTAGAAATAACTTTCGATATTATGTAATATTTAATGTTACTTCATTATCATATAAGAAATAATTTTTATCTTTTATTATAATTTACGAAACTTGTTGATCAAATGTGCAAAAAAAAAAAATAAAAAATAAAAAATAAATAGTACATATGCTGAATTAATAAATAAGAACTCGCAAAGTCTTAACAATGCTAACCCCTATTAAGTTTTATTATCATGAAGACTAGATGATAAACCAATGTGATTATCTTTAATATTGAGCCTGACTGTTTTCTTGAATTTAGTCTCACCAGGTCGTGCAGTACATTCAGGTAATTCGTTGTCCCAATTTTCTCCGCATGGACTAATACTCCTTGCAAAAGCAATATAATTGTTTCCAATATCAGCTGCAAGCCACCATAACTTATTATTGTAAAGTAATGGTAATAATCCAATAATTACTATTATCAGTGGAATTGTTATCATTATCCCAATTGATTGCATTGGATTAGTGCCTCCTAAACACACCCTATGTGAAATCCTAAAGGAACCGGTCGTTGATGAATTATTCTTTAAAAATTCAGTTATATTTTTTGAAATTTCTGCTAAATACATAACGGACGTAGTATCCAATAATGCACCAACGTATCGTACAGTTGCTGCTGTTCCTTTAGATTGAGCACAAGTAACATTTTCAGGTTCACAACTCCAAGCAGAAGCTAACTGCATAGCAACATTTTTGGTAATTGGATCACTATAGTTGAAAGGACGTAATAAAGCATTCTCCATAATAGCAAATAGATTATTCTTGATTTCTTCTAATTCTTTTAACTCATTTTTTTTCATTAAAACTTGCGACAGATCTTCTTCACGAGGTTGCTGATTAGCGCTAGGATATTCAAATGTTATAAGAGGAAAAACACCTCCTTTAATAGATATATTACAATCAATTTGCATAGAAGTATTTATTGTATTATAATGTAAATTGCACAAACGCCATGAAATCGTCTGATTTTCTTTTCCTGCCATTACGTGAACACTTTCCCGACCGTCTATTTCACAAGGAGGAATTATATTAGCACTACACTGGGATGCTAAATATTGCATGCCAACGTTATTAAACACCTTTTCTAATTTCCATTTGGTCAGTTCATTATTAGAGGGTTGATTATTGGATTGATTATTTTGTGTCAAATTTTGTTCTAGTTCTTTAATTGTTTTAGCGATTGCCATTGGCATAAATGCTATCTCATTGCCGTCCACTCCAGTCATTGTATTCCAATTAGACAATGCATTAAATTGAATTTCATTGAATTGTCCGAAGGAATTTTCAGGTGTGAATGCACTATACAAGCTACTGTTTAGCCCTTTAGTTGGGGCCTGTACCCAATTAATTGAAGTCTCATAAAAGATATAGGGAGTTGCCAACTTAGAAGCAGCATATGCGCCGATGATAATACTTGCAATATATATGATCAAGGTACCTAAATATGAGATTATCTGATGGATACTATTATGCTTTTGTTTTAACATAATAAAGCATGCTGTCAAAACACGTAATGGAGTTGATTCTTCACAAATAACAGCCTGGAAAGGAATACCTTGTTTACTAAGTAGGAAAAAGCCTTGTACATAGGCAAATATATGAGAAAATGTTATCCGAGTTAAAAGACTAAACGAGATAGACATAATAAATGAACCTAAACTCATCAACTTTTGAATCTCAGGTATGTAATCGGGTTGCTCTCCACATGTATCAAGGAGATAACCCCAAACAACAATGATTATGATTAATAAGAAACATTTTAATGGATTTTCCCATTGCCAAACGGCGGATAATACATCTTGAGGGTTTCTTGGCGACATTCAAATATCCAAATTCGAAGTTAATGGATTTAATGGATTTAATGATATAAGACGTTTCAATTTTCTTTTTTTTTTTTAAATTACGTATTGGTAAAAGCTAAGACAATAATAATGATGGTAAGTTAAAAAGGCAATACATGGGCGTTAATCCCTATTTGATAAACAACGAAACTCCTTAAATAATGTAATTAAGTAATGTATTTAGATTATACCAATCAGATCTATTTTGATTATAAATATAAAAACCTTTTTTTTTTTTTTTTTTTGAACAAGCTAATAAGTATAAATTTTTTAGAAGAAATACATGTAAAACTGTTCGTGCACTTTAGTATCTTTGGTATCTTTGTATTATATAATGTAAATAAAGTTTATTTCCAAATTTTGATATAATTTAATAAATATGAAACAAATTTATTTACCTTAAATAGGCACAAATTTGATAAATACTTCCTAAAGAATTTTGTGCTACTGATCACAAATTAGTTTGCTAAAGATAATAAATAATCATAATAATATTACAGAATACTGTACACGATCACGTCTCACAATGCACTATGAAAATCAAAAATTATGCGGTTACGTATATAATAAAATAAAATTTATTAAAGATTTTTTTGATAAATGCATAATCTTAATGGTAAGTAGTTTTGGCTAAAGTTTTGTGACCTTTTAATAAATTTAACTTTTTTGTACATCTATTTAAAAAATTGCAATGAATTATTATAGCATATTATTATATAGTCATGCATAATTTTGATTTCATATTGCGTCGCTCACCCAACGTCTACCCAACGTCTCATATACATACGTACGTATGTAATTTTTATGTAAATACGTATGAAACTATCGTAATCGTAATTCATAATTGTATAATATTAGTTAATCTTATACATGCACTCCTTAGAATTGTATGTTTACATATGTACGTGCGTACCGTATTTTGTGGAGTAAAATACTCTCTTAGCATAATACTTACTTTTCTTTTTTGATAATTTCAGCGTGAAATATCCGGGTACTATGCCTGGTTTATAATATATCGATTATATAGTATCTCTCTAGTATTGTACACGCATCTATTACAGTATCCCTTTGTATACGTAGTACCCGGGTACAATTAAATATTTTCTTATGTCCCAGGTATTGTACTCCACAAAATATAGTATGTGAAATATAGTATGTGCTTAAGCAAAGACATGAATTATAAAAGTTGTATTGATATTGAATATAGTAATACTATATAGTTATTGGATGCGAAGCATCCAATAACAGTTTTATTTGGCAGGAGAAATGAGAATACCGTGATCCGCAGGA